TTACAAACCATATTCACAAATATGATGATATTCAATATCAGGTTCAACATCACTTAATGAACAAACAATTTTATCTGATACAATATATGTTGTTAGAATATAAACAGTTGAATTATTATCTAAAGCATTCCAAGCAATTTGATCACAAATACCACGAATATCTTCAATTTGTTCAAATTCATCACTTTCATCTGATGAATCAAGATCATCATATTCATATTCTTCATCATCAGCATTATCATTAGTGGAGGTAACTAAATCAATATTAATTGTTGTTTCATTTGAAAAAATAATATTTGTTATATTTGATTGTTTTTTATTGAATTGTTTTTCATCATGAATCAAAGATTGTTTAGATGGTATTTGTTTCATTTTTTTCGAACGTGTTAATATACGTAAACCAGTTGAACTTAATCGATCGACAATTTTTTGTTTTAAATTTCGATATTTAACACGTACTTCATGAAATTTGAATTTCATTCTATTCCATCGACCTTGATCATTCATTAATGTTTCTGCAATTTTTTTACCTGTAAAAGAAATTTAGTCATATTTGTTTTTTTATTTTAAATTTTATTTTCATCTCTTACCTTTAAGGAAATTTGGATCAATAGAAATCATTAATGATGATAAATCATTTCTTGTTAAAACATGAGCAGCATAGAATAGTTCAACTGCATTTCGTATTTGTATGAGATTTGAAAGATTAGAATGAAGATAATTACATGTATGATTAGCAGCACTAGATATTGATGTTAAATTAGAAAGATAATAACATGAACCACCTAAACGTTTCCATCCTTTTGGACAACGAAATCGATTAACTAAAAGATAAATATAAATAAAAATTATAATATATTTTAATACATAATATAAAATTTTTTTAGTTCTCAAACATTAATAATGATGATTAATTGTCGGTGCTGTGATCTAGATGCCTTAGATTTTTAAAAGAGATACAATTATTGTATAAAAAAATCAATAAATATACTCAGGACGATTATTCCGACCCTCGAAAACAGCGTATTAATATACTAGTTTTCACTGTAGTCCGACAGCCTACTTTTTCGCTAGCAAGCAGTCACCATTTGAAAAGCTTACGGAAAATGACGACGTAAAGACGCCAGTTAATATCGTTTACAACCGTTAATGACACCGGTTTTTTTTCGACCTAGGTAGCGAACAGAGATGTGTAAGAGAATTTTATAGTGTTATGCTTACTTTTAATACACATTCAGCTACTTATTTATTGTCCATATCTCTAAGCGATGAGATATTTAATCTCAAGAACTATTTTATAAATATTCATAACGATTTAAATATCACTTAGCTCTTATATATTGTGATGGTAATTTTTTGAGCAAGGAAGGAAAAGATTAGGTATACGTGATTGAATAAGAAAGAATAATATCATGGAATTGTTCTTTTATATGAACCCTAGTCGACTCTCATTTGCAAACTCATCGGTGATTTCCTGAGCAATCCCTGTGAAGGGTCTCCTTAGAGAGTTATTTATCTTGTGATCTTACTGCAAAAAGTACATAAATATTTGAAATATATTCTAAATAATATCTGTTCATAAATGAGAAGTAGGACCAAATAATTGATTGTAGGAACACTGGGTTGTTACAAAGACAATATACGAATTAAAGAATAACTAGTAGACGATTTAAGTTTTAAACTAAAAATTTAGAATGAAGATTATATCTTATTTATTTAGGTCAATCGTAACTACAACTTCAACAGCAAGTATTAATTCAAAAGATTTAATTCTTTCTTTTATTAATACGAATTTCGCCAACAACTTCGATGACAAGCATTATTTTAAGATATAAATTTTATTCTTTTGATTTAAATCTATCGGACGAACAATTACAATTGTAAATATCAATGTAAGAAAATCAACTTATTTAGATTGAATTCAATAACAAATTGAAGATAAATATTATTTTAAAACGTAATTTATCTTCTTTTTCATTAACATTCATCTCAAACACAACTATAATAGTAAATATTTTTTTGAAAACATCAATTCTATACTTTTATTTTTAATTTCGTTTTAAAAGCAACAACAACAGCAATGGTAAGTGCTATTTCAAAAAATGAAATGTATTTTTTTTTTAATGTACATTAATCTCAAGAGCAATGATGACTGTAAATATTATTTTAAAAAACAATGATACTTTTTTTTTTGTCTAAACAAATAGCGACAAGAATTATAACGGTAGCCTACATTTAAAAAAAAATGAAATATAATTTTTGTTTAGGTTAATCTCAAGGATAACTGCAAAAGTAAATATTATTTAAAAAAAAAACTAAATTAGATTTTTATATTTACAAAAGAAATAATGAAAAAGAAAATCATCACTCTCGCACTGACGAACGGTACATATGGATGCCATAATAATATATGACCATTAACAGTGATCATAATTCTCATCGTAGATTCTTGATGAATGCGTAATACGTCCATAGTTAATTCCATGCAAATTCTCCGGAGGATTCTTCTAGTGAAAGTTTACTAGGGAATCGAGAACTACTGAAATTACATATTGAATGCCTAAATTGTGTCGGAAGAAGATAAGTCTAGAAATGTGTCCAAAATGATGCCTTAATTAGAATTGAATAATATGAAATGAAAATATTAAAAGAACAGAAAAAATGAATATATATTGTATGTAGCATATTTACTATTGTTTTATCTTTCAATAACAATGATTAAATTCTGAAGTGACTGGTAACTTTCTTTTAGAAAATGTACACTTCTGTTCATCAACAATAGATATTCAAGTATAAAGTAGTAAAATTTATCTTGAAGAGTTTCAATCGTGATACAATGAAAAAATCTAAGAGACATCTAATGTCAGTAAAAAAAAAACCAATAGTCAGCCATTACAAAAAATTTAAAATGCATATTAACACAAACAAAAGGAATGAATCAGCTATTTAAATCATTGTAAAATCTGTAAACTTTTTTTTGTCTTGAATAATTATCAAATCTCTTAAATAGCTATGATAATATTTAAATAGTTAATTACATAAACAAATGAGATAAACGTTACAAAGCAATTAGTTATACTTAAATCATTTAGTAGCTGTATATTATTTTACAAAAAATATTTCTTTTTGACAAGTGATGGTCCTTTTTGATAAAGGAAAAAATGAAACAATCCATAATACAGATAAATTAAATTAAGATAAACAACTATATTAATTGACATGTATCAAAATAGTGGTAAATAATAGGACTCGTTAAATATTGAACTATTTAAGAAAGACAAATATTATTTTTTTTTTACGAAAAATTGTTTTTGGACCATAGAAATTCAAATAAAGTTCAAAATCTAAATTAATCTTTATAAAAGAGTGTTAATATGATATCAAAATTAAAAAAAAAACAATAATCTCATTGACAGATATGTTAATTTTATACTGTTCTATGTACAATTGACGTCGCAGTCTCCTACATGACTAGGAATATGATCTCTTGTAATGTATATCATCATGTACACACATACTCAATCATTAAGACATAATGAGATTTGATCGAATGCAAAGTAAATTTCATAGGCTTTAAAAGATATCAAATATTAGTTTTACGATGCCCTTCATATTTTAAGGCCTTCATTTTTTATTATAAGACAATAACATACCAGTCTCTTTGATTTTATCAATAATGGATGGAAATTTATCCCATAGTGATGTAATATCATCAAATTCAAGATTTTGTACATTGTTTGATAGAACGCATGTTGCTGATTGTATAAAAAAGTTAATTGACAATAAACATGTAAGAAAAAAAATCTTAAACGACATGCGTTCGATAATTGTTGTTGATTGTCAGTTTTTTTTTACGTCGTAATTGATAATAACACAGGTAAATAAAAGAAGTTTTAAACAATGAATGAATAGCTTGACGTTCAAGTCGACCTAGTTATATTTGTATACAAAACAAAAAAACATGAATCTAGATAGTAAATTTACAACCAGCAATAGCTGAGTTTGTACTATGCAATAGTAACAGGATTGTGTCGACAGTATGATTTAGTAGAAAGAAAAAAAAAAGAAGAAAGAAAGAAGGAAAGAAAAGAAGAAAAAAAAAGAAACAAAAAAATCTGAGTATACATCGTTAATATTCATATGAACTAAGAACGCAAGAAAGAAAGAAACAAAAAAAAAATAATAGAAAAATTTGAGCATTTTTGCTTCCTATGTCCTAAAGAGAAAGGGAATAGTACATGGCACATGAGCATTTTGACAATAGACAAATATTGTTCACAATTACAAGTTCATCATCTCTCTTTCTTTTCCTTTTCTTTCCCTCTTTCTATATATGTACAGGTACATCCGCCTAAAACTAACCCTATTACATATACAAATATATATCTATACGCATGCCACTTCATGTTCTTCTGACCGCTTGTGCTATATAGATCAACCGTGTTTATTTAATAGAAGAATTTGTATGGCACTCGATGAGAAAAAGACAGTAACATGAATAATCATAATGTAGATTAACTTTTGTCTGGGAAAAATCACTGATCAATCAATACTCTACAATTACTAAATATAACAATTCAACAATATATGATATTTATATTTTCAATATAAATATATTCATAAACATATAATGATATATTATAAATTATGATCTAATATTACTCAACAAATTTTTTCGAGACAAGGTGACAGAAACGAAGAAAAAACCTATCACAGTTTATGCTAGTCATTGACAATGCTTTTGCCATTAGCACAATCACTCTATTCTTGATGATCGATTAATGGATCGAGATTTTAAAAAGATAGTTATGTAATATTATTGCATAAAACAAATGATAAAATGAGAATAACAAAAGAAAAAATTATCAAATAATTAGACTCATTCGTATAGTTTGAACTACGATGAATAAAAAAATTTTTTTTTATAATATGAAATCAAGAAAATCTAATGTTAGCAAATCAATAATCATTTCAATGATTATATCTGGATTAAATATGTCAAGATAATATACTAAGTAAGTCATAATGATGATTTTTTTTTATTAGGTTAAAAATGAAAATAACATTGAATATTGCGCATATATGTCGGCAAAAACAAATAATGAAACCTTAGATTATTTTTTTTTACATGCTTCGTGAAACCCCTACTGCTTTCATATTGAACGAATCATTGAATTGTACTAATTAAATTTTTAGATGAAGAAAGTAGAACTTTGTGATATCGTATTGCCCATTATAAAAACGAAAAAAAAGCTTCAGAAATCTCAAGTATATTAGCTAATAAGGTGCATCGTATTACAGTTCATTATTACATATAGCGATTTAATCAAAATGGCTCGATTAATGCACACAAATCAGCTAGAAGAAGACGAAGTCAGCAAACTAAAAGATTAATTATTTGAGATTTCTGAAATTGTTTTCCCGTTTTTATATTGGGTAATAACTGATTCACCCTATTGATGTCGAAAGGTAAAAATGTCGCAAGTAAAGATGTCACTAGTAAAAATGCCGAGATATTAATATCTCAAATCAAAGAAAATATCAAAAATAAACGGTGTGAGTATAATTCATGAGTAGAAACGCACACTGGAACCCACATCCACGCTCGTCGTGAAAGTTGAAGAAAAACAACTTCAGACAGTTGTTATTCAATAGTGTGCTAGTGCATCAAAGACAAAAAAACTCACGGACCACATTCATACAAAATCGCAGCAATACTCTTGATGATCGATATAATTGATAGTGTCATCAGATCGTCTTTCTGACTTGTCATTGGTTGTTGGAGCGAAAAAAAAACAAATAGATATAGAACAAATGTATGATTCAAGTAAAGTTGTTCATTAAAGTTCTTCCTGTTTTTCACTTTGCTCTGCGTTAAAATTTTCTTTTTTTATGAATAAAAATTCTATCAATGAAATAAACATACTGAATCTTTTCTCATTAACTAACAAATAATTTGTATTGTTTAGACATTTGAATAAGTCAGCATATTCATCTTTCGACATTTTTATCAATCGATATCTTATTTTTTGACATTTTAATGTTCGATTATAGTAGGATTTACCTCTTTTTTATAAACAAACTTTAAAGAATAAATTGAATAGTGGTGAGTGCAGAGATCGAATCGGTACCGATCGTCAAAAATCCAGACCAGTTCCACGTCTGCTGAAAAGAGAAATAAATTTTTTAAATAAAGTTTTCATTTATCAAGAAAGAAATTTAGTTGATAAAATCTTCATGAAATGAGTCTAATATATAGGAACAAAAATCAGAGAACTTTCTTCTTGATATCGACATGTAACGTATGATTTACATTTATTCTTCAAAACAATCCATCCTAATTCATATTAACGCAAATAATAGAAAAACAAATGCTTGAATGTGAAATCCTACAATACAATCGTATATATTGTAACTTAAGAATATCAAAGATACTCGTGTCAAATTTAAGTTCTCACCGATAAACTAATAAAGTTTGAAATATAAGCTGCTTATGACGAGTACGGATTGAAATTTTCGAATTTCAAGGTATTAGCAATGTGCCAACCACTCAAACTTTCAGCATGATTCATTTTTCTTTTTTCATCATAGCTGGATAGAGCTCATTGAGTTACGTAAGATAAATTATGTTTCTAATACAAACGAAACATTTAAAGAGAAAAATCTATGACACTTTTATTTTCAAATATTAAGAATATGGATGTTGCAGCAGCATCACTATTAAAATAATGCTCATTAACATCGCCTAGTAAGTCTACTACTTAAATATTATTCACATTGGAATTATTTAATGCTTAAGTGTTAGCATTAATTTAGCATTATTTTTAATTCTAATATATATATATACTACATGTAAGTTCTGGACTGTTACCTTGATATACTATCTTTAATTTTTCAAGGGCTGCTAAGAAGTACTCTTTATAACTTTTCAAGGACTATCTGAAGGTAATATTTGTGACTTTGTAGCTGCTATATTGGTATTATAGTAGTATTCTTTTGAGAACCACTCAAGTATAACGCATAATATTTTATGACGGACTGATATTCTTGAAATAACGTGTTTACTGATTTGAGTGATGAAAAGATTCAGATATATCATCTAAAATATTTTATTAATGTTTTAATGTAAATATGTATGCTGTCTCAACTATGCAGGAAAGTATATGAATGTATAGAATGGAAGTACTGCAAAATTAGAGGAGATTTTATTTTACCGCAATCAGACATCGCTAGTTGCATTTGTACACTTTAATTACGAATATTTGATTATGTTTTGATTGGATGAAGTCAAAAAGAGACAAATGTGAAGTATTTAAAGGATGTCAAAATCTGTAGAAAAAAACTGTTTGCGCATTTTCTGTAAGACTAGAATGTGAAGCACGATATGGCTATTATTATTAACCATAGAAAACTAATTGACTTGATCTATTTTGTGACACATCTCTTCATCTTGGTTTGCTTAGTTCTTTAGAACTCCAATAAAAGATAGTTCATATATGTTCTAATGAGATGTTAGTGATACATGGACTTTATATCAACAACATCGGTGATGATCTCTGCAGCTCGCCTGTTGCGGCCTGTAAAGGGGGAGCACCTCTAACGGTTTGTCACAGTCTGTGATAGTCTTTGAAGCTCATCTGGCGCGGTCTGTGGAGGAAAGATGCAAATTTCTACCTTATATACTTCAAAACATCTTGTAGGTCATGTTTCGCAAAAAACCTTAAAGAAAAGGAACCAACAATTCTTCACTGTTTCAGTTTTCGATCTCACTAGTTCGATTTATAGGGATTCCTTGTAAAGAGATGACTGTAGCAATATCGTCTTGAGATCCATCACATATTATGTATAGAATCTAAAAACTCATGAACTTTAGTGTAACCAATTCTCCCAACTGATTTGCAGATAAGTTTACGTATTATTGTACTAATGAGACAATATCTTCATTTGTATGTCATCCAAATCACCTTTTTAGTCACTAAAGAAGTGTGAAATTCCGTTTTCAATTCTTTTCCACTGTCGAGAAAATTTAGTTTTTCTAAATGTGACATGAAAAAATCGAACTTCTTCTCGTTGCTCTAAATTTGCTCTATCGGAACTACGCGTCTTTATGATGAAAATATCATAATCAGAGTCAGCATAAAAAGCAAACGGATTCAGGTATCTTTTACGAAATTTTTAGTTCATTTCCAGATTTATGGTGAAAATCTAGATTTTCGTACATAGTAATTCTTTTACTTTTCAACATAAACATTTGAATAAAAAACTAGATATTTCAAGAAATTATGAATGCATATGTATACGATAATTGTTTAATTAGGATTATGAATATGATATTTTTATCACAAAGAGGTATAATTCTGATAGAGCAAATTTAGAGTAACAAGGAGAAGTTCGATTTTTTTCACGTCACACTTAGAAAAAATTAAAAATGACGATTGATACTTGTGTACCCATAAAGAGATAATTCGAATTGTACACAAATGAAGATATTGTCTCATTAGAGCAACAATACGTTAACTTTGTTGAAAATCAGCGGGTACAATCGGTTAAACTAAAGCACATGGATTCGTAGAATCCGTATATAATATGCGACGAATCTCGAGACAAATTTCTAGAGTCAACTCTATACAAAGAATCCCTGTAAATAAAACTAGAACAGTGAAGAACTTCTGGTTTCTTTTCTCTAAAGTTTTTCTGCAGATTTTGACATCCTCTGAATACTTCGCATTTGTCTCTTTTTGACTTCGTCCAATCAAAACATAATCAAATATTCGTAATTAAAGTGCACAAATGCAACTAGTGATGTCTGATTGAGGTAAAAATAAAATCTCCTCTCATTTTTGCAGTACTTCCATTCTATGCATTCATATACTTTCTTACATAGTTGGAAAAGCATACATATTTACATTAAAACACTAATAAAGTATTTAAGATAACATGTCCGAAACTTTTCATGACTCAAATCAGTAAACACGTTATTTCAAGAATATCAGTCCATTATAAAATAGTATTATGCATTATACTTGAGTGGTTTTCAAAAAAATACTATACTATAATGTCAATATAACAACTAAAAAGTCACAAATAGTACCTCCAGATAGTCCTTAAAAAGTAACAAAGAGTATCTCTAGCTAGCTCTTAAAAAGTTATAAAGAATACCCCCTAGTGGTATTTGAAAGGTTACAAAGAACATTCTCTGGTAGTCTTTGAAAAGCTACACGGACTACTTCCTAGTAGTCCTTGAAAAATTAAAGATAATATACCAAGGTAACAGCCCAGAACTTACATGCAGTATATATATTAGAATTCAAAATAATGCTAAATTAATGCTAAGACCTAAGCATTAAATAATTCTAATACCAATAATGTTTATGCATTAGTATTAGTATTACTTAAGGCTCATGCTAATTCTAATCTGACACTCCTAATTGAGAAAGAAACGTAGATCGGAAATCCTGACTTTCGTAAAATTTCTTTTTCGATTTGTGAAAACATAATTTTTCTTAATTAACTCAATGAGTTTTGTCCAACGATAACGAAAAGACAAAAATAAAATTGTTAACAATATACTGTACACTGTATATCTCTTAAAATTCGAATACTTCAATCCAATGATATCATAATTACTTCATATTTTAGGCTTTGTCAGTTTACCGATGAGATCTTTAAGTTGAATTGAATATGTTTAATGTTGGTCGATTGGAAGATTTTTGTTACAGTTGACTGAATTTTAAAGTGAGTTGAACGATTCTTTTTGTAGAGAATTGCTAACCAAAAAAAACGATAAAACGCTAAAAATCCGCTCTGGACATGCCTGGTCGTAGAAAGGCAAATGAATGAAAATATATTCACTATGTTCTCGTTGAATAATTCTTGATGGACTCTTGTTGAATTGAATAAAAGTTGTCGATGATAAAAATCAATTAAAGCATGTACTCTTATTACGTAACGCTAATGTACCATCAATTTAGGACAATTTATTTCATTATGAATGAATTCAAACTGTCACTGTGGAACAATTATAAAGTAATTGCCACTAGGCAATATTGAAGTAATTAACAGATATTTCATTATAAATTTTAAGTAAATAAGCAGTTTTCGTTAAACAAAAGCACATCTTATTCATGATTGTCTCTTTAAGTCGATTCATTGAAAAACAATATGCTGATTCTAATGAACGTTATTCACGATTCGTTGATCGGCCACAAACATACATTAAAAGTGGCTACATGCTAACACATGTGTTGTTAAAAGCGGTCTCTTTTCTTTCATCTATCTTTCTCTCTTTTTTAATCAATATATCACCATATGCCAACAAAGTGGTTAAAGACAAGAGAAAGATAGATGAAAGAAAAGAGACCGCTTTTAGCAACACATGAGCTCGTATGTGGTCACTTTTTATGTATGTTCGTGGGCAACAAGCTAATCATGAATAAGGCTCATTAATTTTTTTATTTTTTTTTCATTCGAGTTTTTCATAGAAAAATATATATGAAAAATAAAAGATCATGAGTATTAAGATGCATACCATTAAAAAAATAGCTCCGATATCAAAATAAACTTTAAAAATAGCTATAATGTTCAACGTTCTTCTAGATTAATGTTATCGTTATTATTAATAAGTTGATTTAAATAAGTTATTTGTTAATAGTTTTTTGTTGCATATGATTGTTTATCATTTCTAATTGAAAAAGGTACTTATATGTCTTTCAATTGTTGTGCTCGGAAGTAACATTAGTGATGCTGATGACTTTCTGTTTAGTGTTATCATTCTTCATTTGTGAAGCAAAAATTCTTTGATCTAATAATACATTTCGTTGAAAATCTTTTTGCTCATAATAGTTAAATGGCAAAACATAAAAGTAACAATGTGGCCGTTTTTTTTGAAATTTTTTTATTTCATTTTCATACCAAGCTTGCATATGTTGATTATGACTCAATAGTTGAAGAAATCTTGATGAATTTATGTTCGAAGGAGTTCCTGGTGAATAATCGTTTGTCGATTCATTTGAGATAGGTAGAGATCGAAATAGTGGTGAGTCGATATTTTCTTGTTGTAATTCATCTGTATTTTTCGGTGAAGTTGCATTTTGACTATAAACAATCAGTAACTGTTGCTTCAAAGATGTAATATATAGTTCAGCTGGACTTAATGATGGATATTCATCGATGCTAGGCATAGATAATAAACGATCAATTGTAGGAGATTGTGGCTTACATGTATTTCCTCTGAAAAACAAATCAATATAAAATGGAGAAAAAAAGTTTAGCACACTTTTTATTCGTTTAGATTTTTCCTCAAGAACAACTTATGCAAGAGATTCAAATAGTGATTTCGATAGTTCTCAGAGCAGACTATAAAAAAAGCTTTCAGTTATCGTTGGATAAGGAAAAAAACTGGCTAAATACTAAAAAAACGTGCTAATTTTTTTTCCTTCACTGTAAAGTTGGTATTTAATTGTGAAATTATGACACGATACAAATAAACTAAAGATAGTTTTTTGAATCTGATAAATAAATTTTCTATTAAGAAGTTTCAAATAGAATGTGATAGCTCACTTTAATCTTTGCATTATTAATGGCTCAGATAGTGAAGCAATTGTAGGTTCTTGGTTTTGATCAGTAGCTATTAGTCTGGATAATTGTTCATCGACCGGTTGATTTTGTTGTGAATATATAAATGTCAATGAATTTTTTAGGCATTTTTTTAGATCAAATATATGAAAATTATGAATAATTGTATAAGCAAGAAACCATCGAAAACGTGCGATTTTTCGTTTTATTCTTCTCTTTTTTTCTTCATTTTCAGTTGTAGTGCTTTGTTTTGTTTGTATTCGTTCTGATAATTGTCTATTTGAATGAATGGATATTAATGGAATTGATTCCTTAATTGAATGAGGACGCCTAACAATTGCAGCTTGAGTATTATTATTTGTTATTTCATAATCATAATTATCGTCATCATATTGATCTTGTTTAGATAGAAGATATTCATGATTTAATATTTTAGTTCTATTAATAGATGATTTTGATAATTGTGCTTGTTGTTGAAGAGTAGATGAAGTTAGTCGTGTTGAAGAATTATCATCGTTGTCTACATTAATTTCATCATCAGAAATAGCAAACTTTCGTAATCTTCGTTCTCTACTATCAATCGTTTGATTATTTCTACCAGACATCTAGAAAAAAAAATAAATAGGAAAAAAGAGCAACGATTTCTTTTTTTTTTAATTTTTTTTTACTGTAGATAAATTTTGTAACTTTGTTGTTGGATTTATTTCTGTTATTGAATGACATGATTGATTGTCCGTTGTATTATGATTAATATTTCTACTTGATTTATCGTATTTATTTTTTCGTTGTTTTTTAGATCTATTCTCATCATCAGAATCATTTATATTTGTAGAAAATTTTTCATTATGATTTTTTCTTGATTGTTCAGTAGTTAGATTTAAAAGTAAATCAGAAAAAACTAAATAAATTAAAATAGAAAATAAATTTGTTCGTTCTTCTTCTGAAATATAGACTAACCAAGCATGAGTGGATTTGAATAATGTTTTTCAACATGTAAATATGAGACATAAGCAGCAAAACCAGCATCTGAAATATGATATAAGAAAGTAGAAAGATTAATTGACTCAAATTTTATCTAGTCTATAAATTTGAAACAAAATTTATTTATTGTAGAAAAAAAAATGAGAGTATCTATATGAAAGGTTAGTTTGCCTTTTAATGATTGACTGTATTGTATTACATGTATTAACTCTATCACTCAATTAAATTTGTTTTATTTTATCTAAAATGTTTTATTTAAAAAAATTTTGAAAATTGATCTTCGATACGAAATATCATATGAATCTTTTTACTTTTGTCTCAATTGTTTTGGCGTTCTTATCTATAGATTGCGCAATAAAATCTGTCTAACAGTTAGTATGTTGCTACAGGTAAAAGCTGTGAATACCCCATGAGTAGCTAAAGATAATTTTTGGATACTTGTAAAAATTATGGACACCCACGGTTACTTTACTAGGGAACATTTCCAAGTGTTGGACTGTTTTTGACTCCGGATTTAGTGTTTATGACTTGTTTTAGAGGACATCGAATGTTTTTTCTATTACAGCTATAAGAGTCATCTTATCAGAGAAAAACCACTGTCTCAAGCAATATAAGTTGAAACAAAATGAGATTTTTCTTACATATAAGAATGTACTCATATGGAAGACAGTGTGAGCACAAAAGATCTTAGAAAATGTTAATGTGATTCTAAATATCAATTATTATGGTACTTTTTGAATTACAAGATATACAGTTGAAGATTTTAGAATATTGAGTACTTATACAATTTTGAATGCTTGATACTTGTAGTTTTCTACAATGATATATTTATTTTTCGTTAGATTCCGATACCTATCACAGTGCTTATATTTTGAGTTAAATATAAAGTAATCTTTTTCGTATACGAATGATGAAAAGAATGTTAAAATATGCTTGGCATGCAAGCAGATATATAGACTATCATTGAGGTTCTTTTCTATTTGTCAAAAAATTTTGATCCATTTTTGCTAATGTTGCATGCAATGATGAGTGTTGTGAATCTTCTTCTTCATTCATCTGCTGCAGTTGATGCAGGCACAACGTTTGGTATTAGCATTTTTTTCTTCGATTATCGCTTTCATAATAGTCTATATAGTTTAGTCTAATAGTCATTTTTTTTCGTTAGATGTTTAATTGTAAAACATTTTCTATAAGTAAAAAATCAAAGCAATCATGAGCAGGGATGGAACCAGTCAGGATTTTTTACAACTAATATTGACCTGAGTAGACCGAACCGATCAGTAATCGGTACCGGTTTCATCTCTGATTCATGAGTGTTCATAGTTTTTACAGGTACTCGAGATGTATCAATACATAGCTTCATATTAAATGAAAAATCTCTCTCTCTCTCTCTCTAGAACAATTTAGTTGAATAATTTACCGAATTTCTCCAATGGTCGTCCAAGAAAGCTATAATCAAGTCGAGCCATAAATACTACATTAAGAAATGTTGCTTTAATCAATCGAATAATACATGAAGCCATACCAAGAAAACAATCTTTAAAAACAAACAAAAAAGAAAAACATAAATACTTCGTAATATTTTTATCTTTCAAGTTTACCAGCAAAAAAACTGAAATAAATAAATATTGCATAGGTTTTGGGATTTTTCATATCATTAATGTCTTCTGGCTTTTTTGTAAATACAAACTTTCCGGCTAATTTCATACCAAGGATTTTTATTAGATAAATAATAAGTATAGGTACAATAATGGTAAGTACTAATTCAATTTGACGAATTCGTAATGAAAGAATTCTTATTCCAATCAATATTAAAAGTATTAAATGAAAACAAATAACAAAACCCCATGCCATATATCCAACAAGAAAACCAGAATAATGTACAGATTTCGATACGATTGAGCTCCATTCCATATTCCTTGTTGATGGAACGTCAATATATATACCTTTATATAATTGTTGCTTATGTTTTTTATAATTTTGCATTCCAATAAGTAATTGAAATCCGTATAAAATTGCTGCTAAAACAGCGCTTAATATTATTTCATGTTTCAAAGTGAATGAATCATCTAATTCTATATCATCAAAACAAAAACAAGACTCAGTAAAAAAAAAGTTTTAAATGAAACTACTCACCAACATTTGCTGAATTTTCAATAAAAGATCTTAAAAATGGAATAACTCCTGCTGGTCGTGAAAGATACAGAAAAATAAATGTACATGCCAAATAATATAGAAAAACAAAAGCTACTGTATAAGTACAAGTTGCTATTGTTGTAAAATGAAAATCTTCGTCCCAATAATAGAAAGAATCAAAGAACTTTTTTATAAGTGATCGATTAGTTACATTTTGTTGTTTTGATTTTTGTTTAGTATTTGTTCGATATAAAGGACAATTACGTCGAAGTAATTTTGTAACATAATATTTTGCAAATTCTAATTCATCAAATTGTACATGAGGTGTTGACCAAATGCTTTTCTTTTTTTTTACTGATACATATATTGAATCATATACAAAACGCACACATAATTCAGCACCAATATATGAAAGAAAAAAGAAATGTGGAATATTTTTTATTAAACCATATATAATAAACCATGTACCAAGTTCCTAAAATTATGTTTTTATTTGTTAGTAATTATTATTAAACGATGTTTATTCTAACGATTTAGCATCTTTAGAGAAGATTAATAGAATTCTCACTGTGTCAGAAAATAGATTGAATAAAATGATCTTTCTGCGATTAGCAATAGCAGGTACATTGTATTGCACATTTCAATCCAACAGAGATTGCGCATATAGCTGTTTACTGTTGTAGAAGGTGTGTAACTATCGAAGAATAAATCAGAATAAATCTGATTTCTTGTGGACCTATGTCGTTTACGAGAGAATCTCTTCAGTTACTCTCTTCCCATTTCAATGAGTTTTTGCTCATATGATAATATCTATTTTCACAACCTCAGGTTTTCGGAAAGCTCCTATTTTTCGAATTTTGATCTGAAATTTGCACATATAGAGAATTCAATTAGATTAGCTTTCAAAACAAAATTCAGAAGTTTTGAACAAAGTACCTCCGAAATATGAAGCTTTTAAAAAATGTATGTTGTATACAGTATTTATGAAAAGGGTTTATATCTTAAAAGTATCATATCTCGAAGAGACTTTGTTCAAAACTTCTTAATATTTTCATGGAAGACAGTCTAATTGAGTTCTCTATATGCACAAAGTTTCGAATCAAAATTCGAAACTGTCAGTTTTCCAAAAATCTGAGGTCTCTAGAAGATAGACATATTAAAAATTCGATAACTCAGTTAAATATCCATAGTAACTCAAATCCTTTTAGAATTTTTATTAGAACACTGTGGTATCTATGAGCAAAAAATCATTGAAATCGGAAGGAGATAGTTGAACAGGTTCCTTTGTTAGTGGTAAAAATATGCATAAGTATGTTTCAAGATCGAAAGGCTAAGTGTTGGTACCTGTCTAGGCATATGCTTTTTACACCACTACCAATTCTAACATAATTATGCGTTCATGAATTTGATTTTTCAAGAATCGAAATGAAAAAAAAAAGAATAAACTACATAGTTTGAAAACTTTATTTGTTTAGATCTATGAACGCATAAATTTATCGCTTGATAGGAAGAACAGTTCATAGATCTTTGATCTCAATACATTCAGAATTTCTTAGTAATTATTACAATGTTTTTATCAAAACGATTATTTTTCTTTGATAGTTATATACAAATTAAATAAGTTTTCTTGTCTATAAGAAAATATTAATTCACATACCATTCGAAGTTTTGCTTCTTCAACAACTGTATATTTTCCTGCTAATGGAAGAAAACCCATACATGAACTTTCTCGTACAATTGTATATATAATATCACAGAGTATATATAGACAAGCGAAAAAACGAATAAAAACATTTCGTAATTTTAGAGAAGCAAGTATCGGATAATATCGAAATCTAGATAATTTACGAAAAAGTGAATAAGAATTTAACTTCTTTCTAAAGAAAATATACCCGACAACAGCGATAATTGCTATTCTTATAATTAATTCAAAAAGTACACCATGATTAAATGTTTTATGTAAACCAAAAAGTAGTTCTTCAAAGATTTTTAATGCTCCATAAGCAATAATTCCAAAAACAGTTGCTGTTGTAAAACGATTTTCTATACGAAATGGTTCAATTGGTGATAATAAACCTAAAGAAAAATTTCATCGACAGAGAAAAAAAAATCTCAAATCTATATTTTACCAGGTCGACCATTACATGTCTTTAAACATTGTTTGTCTCGTTTAATTGACCACGAAAAAATAAATATTAAAGACAATGCAAAAGGAAAAAATTTTAAATTTTCTATTCGATAATCTAATGTACTTTCGCATTCTTCTATTAAATGAGTTGTATGATTAAGTAGACTTCCTAATGTTTTATCATTAATTTTATCAATTTCAAATAATTTATAATATCGTAATGTTATTGTAATAAATAAGACTGATAAAAAGCATGTACTTAAAAGACCAACCCAAATACTACGAACAAGATTACGTTTAATTGGATTTAATAATTCATGTGGACCTCTTGAAAAATGAAAATTTCGAATTATAAATATGATTAAAACAAAAACTATTATAGAATGAAATGAATTATTGGTGATCGGGTAATTCATCGCGGATGTGTGAGTGTCGGTGTGAATAAAGATCTTTTGTATATCCTTACCAACACGCTTACATCCATGTCCAATCTCACTCATTCACCCTGAATGCTCCTTAAGGATACTTTAAGGCTAATATGCCATGCGACTAGAGCTCGTCCGTCTAGTCTCGAGCCCGACCGGATTTAGGATCGGATTCAAAAATTTTGGATCTGATGAGCTCTAGTCGTCTGAGAAATGTGTATGGTGCGCTAATCACCGAATACAAGAAACTAGAAAAGACTATCTCATATCTTCGGGACGACTGTCCAATTTCGATTAGAAAATTTCATTGACAATATAAAAGTACGGTTCAACAGGGTCTGGATTCCAAAAATGTTCAATAAACCAGGTCCTGGTTCAGAATTTTTCGATCCGACAGGCTCTACATACAACCAACAGTCCTGTGATGAATTGTCCTGGTACTGCATTATTTCCCAAAAGTAGTTACCTGAGTTTTTTTAAAATCACTTCACTAAGTTGTCGTTCATTGGTTGTCTCGGCTACTGCCAATTGATTTTTGTTACCATTATCGCTCTGTTCTAACCTATAACGATAAATAAAGTTAGATTTGATGCATCATGAAAACTACAAAAAATTCATTCTTAGCTTTCTGTAAACTGCTCGTTTATTTTTTAGTTTTTGAAACTTTTGATGATCGTATATGCTCGATTTCAGATGAGAATTTCTTAATCCCGAAGCTGATTCTCTACCTATTTAATTTTCTAAATCTTAACACCGCTCTCTCTCAGCAACGTATGTACAAAATATCTTAACTATATTTGAATAAACGTCATGGTTTCTATAAGTATTCAAATCAATACGAGGTCTTTGTTTTTGAAATGCAAAAATTTTCCCAAAAATATATCATAAATACTGTTAATTGATTATGAAAAGATGTCAACAATTTAATAGTTATCGTTTTGTTATTAATATAAATTTGTGTAAGAGTTTGAAACTTTATTCTATTTTGCGTAATAGGACTTTTTTAAATGAACGACATTAGTCATATTTATACTTAAAACATAAATGAAATTTGCTTTTTATTTGGTCAGAAAGTATTTGCAGGTAATGGTATACCCTAATAAACGTCGAATCGGTATCAATGATGTTGCATAAAGAATAATAATAATAATAATAATAATAATAATACCGATAAGGATTTGCTGATCTTCTTGTGAAACTAAAAAGAAAAATCAAATTATTTTTTGAGAAGTCATTCTTTTCCAATGATCATTATTTTTAATAATATTCAATCAAGTAATCAGACAATAAATATAGAGAGCAACTTTTTCGATTCACTGTATACACCGAAAAGCAGACACTATTTATTTTAATAATAAAAACAAGATTTTGAAAAGCTCTATCTTCTTTTGTTCATTAGAACAGATTAATTTATTATTAAGAGATTAACCCTATTGAATTAAATCTCTCCAGACAATAGAAAACTCTAAATCATCTATTATATCTATGCGTATAAAGTTTTCGCCGATGATCTTCTATTGTGTCCCCTTTTTTTTTAATTACAAGGGTTTCTCAATGAACCAAAATGATTTGGAAGATTTGGAAGATTTGGAAGAAGATTTTTGAGAATTTTTAAAGCCAGAAAATAATGTTGATCTCACGAGGGAACTACCCGAGGTGCTAAAAACCTTTTCGGCCGAGGATATGATGGTTAGATAGGGCACAGTTAGGAGTGATATATCCTGAGTTAGTTCGTCGTCAAGTACCTTCTAGCAGAAGTTATGAATTTTTCAAGTCATGAGCAAAATGTGCATTTTGTCTCCAAATCTTACGAGGGAAGTACCCAAACTGATTAACCGTTTTTGAGTTCGAACTCTGTGCATAAGGTAAACTCCAATGAGACATGAAAAATCTCAGAAGTATAAGGATTCATAGACCTTCCCTCTAGAGTTATAGTCATCTTACTGGAATTTCAGCCTGTAGTATGATATTCACTAATAAATAGAATGACCGTATTTCGATCTGAAATTTTGCCTACCAATAGGTCTACTTGTAATTAAAATGCTCCGAAATTTTCAGCTAAAAGAAATGTTTCCTTCACGAGACATTGAATTCCCAAAAACACATGAGACTCCCGCATCTTTCACGGAATATGAGTGATTTGTGAAAATTCACTATCTCGTGAAGGAAACATTTCTTTTAGCTGAAAATTTCGGAACATTTTAATTACAAGTAGACCTATTGGTAGGCAAAATTTCAGATCGAAATACGGTCATTCTATTTATTAGTATGTATCGTGCTACAAACTGAAATTCCAGTAAGATGACTATAACTCTAGAGGGAAGGTCTATAAATCCTTATACTTCTGAGATTTTTCATGTCTCATTGGAGTTTACCTTATGCACAGAGTTCGAACTCAAAAACGGTTAATCAGTTTGGGTACTTCCCTCGTAAGATTTGGAGACAAAATGCACATTTTGCTCATGACTTGAAAAATTCATAACTTCTGCTAGAAGGTACTTGGAGACGAACTAACTCAGGATATATCACTCCTAACTGTGCCCTATCTAACCATCACATCCCCAGCCGAAAGGTTTATAACAGCTCGGATAGTTCCCTCGTCAGTCGTTTAAGATTTTCAGCGCAACACCCTGAAAACTAGCCATATTTTGATGTAAAAATACTGCTGTAATTAAAGCTTCGATTTTGTGATAAATTAACTAATTACGTACAGTCTCCTGCCACATCCGGCACATCGTTCCTCACAAGGAGGGTCTTTTAATATTGTGAACTCATCTTTTACAGGCAGACGTTTAGCTGAAAACAAAATCTCAATACCACTAAAGACATTTTCCTATGGGATCTGGACAGTTACTCGCTAGGACATTTGCTTGCTAAGACATTTGCTCACAGGTGTAGGTGTCGGCATTAGAGAGTAGTGAGTCCATGTTTTTGTCAATCTTGATCCGGCAGGGCTCGGATCTGGAACGATTCGTAGTTTCCTAGTGGATATGGGTGTGAGTGTTGATCGGGATCTTTTTTTCATTCACACCCATATCCATGTGGCCCTACTAGAATAGAAGGGCACCTACAAGAAACATTTCACAGGACGTAATAGAAGGATATGAGTTTTCAAAAAATCTTTTTTTTCAGAAATCCAGCGGATTTGAGCACCTAAAAACCTGGTTTTTGAGTAAAAAAAACATTTCTTTGAATAAAAAACCTGATTTTCTGCACTTATTTGCTAATAGTGTCTATTTGTAAAAAAAATTGGACATCATTATGAATTGATCAATATAACGAACCATGACCGTAGAATTCCTCTTCGAGATATCGTAATGAAAAGGTTAATTTCTGATTCTAATTACGAGAAGCTCGTACATTGTGTCCTATCTGTATCATTTTTTGCTATTGACAATTCTTTCGTTGACAAATGAGATGCAAATGGATTCATTTCATAGAACGAAACTTATTCTATCGACATTCAAATCTATCTTTATCTCAACCTTGATGTGATCTTCTATTAAAGAACTATTTAAGTGACATAAGATTAATATAGATTGATAAATATTACAAAATAAAATTCTTTCGAATATTGAATACTCGATTTTTAGCTATACATTTTCCGATGTTTTAACTATTTATTAATAAAGAAAAAACTTAAGTTGACCTCCTATGATTTTAATTAAAACAAAACAAAATCTTAATGAAGCATTTTCAAGAAAAATAAATTCTTCTATTGTTACATACTTGTTTCACAAAGAAGACCATCATATAAAAATGAACAAGAACATTTGAAACCTGATAATGTATTAACACAATGTCCATGTTTACCACAAATAATATTTGCAAAACAAAAATCAAGTACTATATATTACAAAGAAAATTATTCTATTTGATTTATTTAATATTAAAATTACAAACCATATTCACAAATATGATGATATTCAATATCAGGTTCAACATCACTTAATGAACAAACAATTTTATCTGATACAATATATGTTGTTAGAATATAAACAGTTGAATTATCAGCTAAAGCATTCCAAGCAATTTGATCACAAATTCTACGTATATTTTCGATTTGTTCAAATTCATCACTTTCATCTGATGAATCAAGATCATCATATTCATATTCATCATTATCATTAATAACTAAACTAACATTTATTGGTGTTTTCTGTGGTTTATTATATTTTTCAAATGATTGTTTTATTTTTCTTGAGCGTTTCAACAGACGTAAATTAATTGATTTTAATCGATCGACGATTTTTGTTGTTAAATTAAGATATTTGATACGTACTTTATGAAATTTTTGTTTCATTCTATTCCATTGATCTTGATCATTTGTTAACATTTCTACAAGATTTTTTCCTAAAAAGAAAGTTTCGTTTTCTTTTAAATTCATGCTTAGAAAAATAATTTTCTTACCTTTAAGTAATTTTGGATCAAGAGAAAGCATCAATGATGACAAATTATTTCTTGTTAAAACATGAGCAGCATAGGCTAATTCCACTGTATTTTGTATTCGTATGAGATTTGAAAGATTAGAATGAAGATAATTACATGTATGATTAGCAGCACTAGATATTGATGTTAAATTAGAAAGATAATAACATGAACCACCTAAACGTTTCCATCCTTTTGGACAACGAAATCGATTAACTAGAAAACAAAGTTAAAAAATACTTGAATAGTACACGTCTGTTATAGGTAGTTTCCAGTGAAGAAATTCAATCCTTACTATAATTTCACAATTCTAAAGTTACATTTCGAAAGGATCAAGTCACTTTTTTTTCCTCTAAAAGAACTGACTTTGACGGTATTTTTTCCTAAATTAATTTTCGTTGTTTTTTCTATGGGTAAAACAATATTTGAAAGCTTTCAAATAGCAATACTGTTATAAAAGTAAGAGCATCGAATTTTGTAGATATTGGTTTGTATTTGACATAGTTGAGTTTCACATGTGAACTTAGTCGATATGAAGTATCATTCATTTAGAATTAAATTCAAACTTCACAATGTGATTCAATAGAGTTTTAACCAATAAAGCTTTTGTGCTGAAAAATTACGGTTCTTTTCCTCGGAAGACTTCTCCTTTGGAAGTTTGTTTACTCCAAAAAAAAAAGAAAGCACTTTTGGAAATTCAACTAAATAAGTAACTTTATCACTATAAGGCAAAGCGAGAATGCGTGAGTACGAAAGGCTATACTTTATACTTGAAAGTTGTTGATTAGAATTGTACGATCAATCGTTTGAGAAAAATCTCAGTTCGAAGCTAGGACAATAAACAGAAATAACGGGTAGTGCGAAAGTCCCTGGACAAAGTGTCCTTTTATTTTTCAACCGATTGCGAGAGTCAACAGAAAATTTCAAGCATTATAATAGAATCAAAATTTTGTACTCCTTTCGAATATATTTGAGTGATTTGTGTGAGACTCATAGGTTAGAAATTATTAGTAAATTTTTAATAGGTCCGAAAATAAAATCTAGACAGAAACAATTGAACTAACAGATCTAGAAACGACAAATCTGATCGTTCTCCGTTTGAAACAAAGCGTGTACTATTTTTCTCGACACTTTCTTATTCTCATCATAAAGGCGCGCGATTTAGCTTAGTCCCACTGTCTTTTCCTTGACTGCATCATGTTTTGGAATTTCTTGGGCCATCATCTAGTAGAGATGTGTAGGGCGGCGCTGCCACATGATGACGTCAGTGGCAGTTTCTTTTTAGGACGATTGTAAAATTGTATGAACTTGTACTCGACTTAAGTGTCTACAAGTCCAACAGTCAACGCCATGGTGAATCAGATCTTCAACCGCGATGAACATCTCCGGCATCTAGTCAATACACGTCCTTTACAGTAATAATGCCTTTACTGAATACCTTTGATGAGCAATCTTTTTTTGCATAGCCTAAAGAGCTAAAGAGAGTCCTTTACAAAGTGACCTGAGAGCTAAAAGTCTCACAGTAATTCTTCAGAAATAATCAAGCTGATTTTATAAGTCCAGAAACTAAGAAAGTTCGAAGATGTCAGTGTTTCTTCTACTAAAAGCCTTATTATTGATAGAAATGTCATAGAGAACTAATAACTATGATATCAGTTTGTTTCGAAATGGTTGCTCTTTCTTTTAATGTATTTGTAATAAATTTTACTTCTACTTGAGATGGCTTTTTTTGCCCACTGGAACTTATTCAAACTTTATTCTCAAGATTCTCAAAGATTTGCTTATAATTTCTAACCTATGAGTCTCATATAAAATTCCGAGCATAGATTTGTCAGTATTCCCATCGCCGAAATGTAGATAGTCGAAATTCGGTGAATTGCATTTCGGCGATGTCATTGTCGACGACGTGACTATCGGCGATATCTTCAGATAATATTTGTAGTATTAGAAACCTTTGGTTATTATGACTATTGATACTTATTGTACTTAGTAATTACAATGATGTGTCATGTAAAGAACTAAATTTAGTGAGTGATTCAAAAAGTTCCTAAGCTAAGTTAGGGATCAAGTCGCGTTAGTCACTAACTTAAGTTGGTGTCCAAGTTAAGCTAGTGACTAACTTCATCAAGTTAATCACTTACATGATCTGGTGTTTGAATCAAGGCAGTGACTAATTTGATCGAGTGTCTCAGTCAAGTTAATGACTAACGTGATCGAGCATCTGAGTCAAGTTAGTGATTAAGAAAAATCAGGTCGTAATTTATGATCAGCACATCACAATTGATTAGATACTATATATATGCATGTATCTATATGATATATGTTCTGAAAGAGTGAACTGAAGGATTGATGGCTTAGAGTTATATCAACGAGACGAAGCTCACAAACATAGATGGTCGCAAGATATTCGATGAACTTTTTATCGACAATCTCTATTTCGATAATATTAGTTTCAGCCATCGTCCTTTATGGTAATATTCGTTTAGGCGAGAGATTCAACGATGATGTATACAACCCATATATTCTGAAAGACCATAAAATTCTGATTCTAACCCGATGCTTTAAATTTTCTGCTGACTTTCATAACTGATCGACAAATGAAAGAACATGTTGTCCAGAAACTTTCTCACCATCTGCTGTTAAAGAAATATTGAAATCATCATTTATTCGAAATTAGCCGTTATATCAAACTATTCTCTATATAAAAACATGATTTTTAACAAGATATATTTTTATGCATACAATATCAATTTCGAAAAATAAATTTTTATTAATTCGTGTCATAGGCAAACAAAATGTTAATGGGAAAATTTTATGGTTTCACTCCATTCGTAAAACACATTATTTATTCCCATAAAATTATAAGATTTTATGGCTTAGATATATTTTATTGACTTCTTGCTAAAAAAACCCATAGCTATACTCTTCTCGAATATCTATGATAAAATCCGTATCTAAGCGACATACCACTCTCATCGATTTTGTCAATAATAGATGGAAATTGATTCCATAGTGATGTGACATCAGTGAGTTCGAGATTTTGTAGATTAGTCGGTACAGCACATGCTATTGTTTGTATGAAAATTGTCGTCAAGAATAAATGTGTTGATGAAAAAATAATTACTGACATGTGTCCAACGATTATTGTTTTGTTTTGTCGCAAATAGTTAATAAATAAGACAGACGGGGAACAAAAAATGTAATCGAATCACTCTTTTCTAATCGTAAAAACAACACAAGAATACTTACGCACAACGTAAAAAAGCAAAAAAAACGAACAGAAAAGTAATAAAAGAAAAGATAAATAGGATATTTCATTCATCGTAATGTGATGAATTTTTTTATGCAACGAATTCTATCTTTCTCTTGAAATATAATCTTATTATGAAATTTTTTCGTTTTTTTTTAGAAAAAGGTAGTTTTTATTGATTTAAATATTTACACTTCCAACTTTTATTAAAAAATATGTTGAGTCATCAATCTGATAGTACAGCATGATTTAGCCATGTTTATATATTAATCAAGATAAAATATTATTCAAGAACAAGAACACTGTTATGGAAAATATTATTTTTAATGATTGTAACTAATAATAAATATAATACTATTGTTTTTCAACAATAGACTCGATGTTCAAAAGAGCCGATAAATTATATACTGTATGAAGTAATGTATTCAATACAACGTAAGAAAAAAAAATTAAATAAAATAGTTAAGAACGATAAGTGTTATAATATGGTAAATAATAAAGTTGTCGACGACGAATATAAAATCCACTAATTGAAACTATGATAATAAACACAAGTGAAGCGATAATAATTCCAGCGATTGATCCTGGACTAAATGTATCGGGATAATATGGACGAAAAGTTGTACTGCTACTATGTTTTGACGATATTTTTGTTGAAGATAAACTTGTTGATTCTGATGTTAAAACAATAGATAAATTCGATCTCGATGATGAAGAAATATCAAATGATGAAAATTTATTCAAATTAATACACAAGACTATGCCTGAATAAAAAAAATAATATTCAATGTTATTTATTTAAAATTTGAATATTCAAATATATTCTACTTTGAAAACCATCGAATTTAATGTTTAGATAAACTCCTTATATATTTCTCTGCATAGATTTTTAACCTATATATACCATAATTCAATATTCATAAATATTATTCTATGTCAAGTGATATATTAGACGTCTCTAAAAAGTCCAATATTTGCTAGTCGGTTGCTTTCGTCTCGTTATTATATGGTAATATCATAAAATGGATAATTTATGAGTCAGTTTTATTTCAAGAATTACTCATATGTTCACAAGATTATAAAAATTGTATCTTACCTCTATCTGAGAGATTTTTGTTAGTTGGAATAAATAATATAATAACTTACTGTTCATGAAACATATAAATATGACTGACAACAAATGCATTTTTGTTTTATTTTAATTGTAGAAAAAGAAAAGTAATAACAACTTTCCATATTGTTATCTTTTATCAAATTGATAAAATATTGACTCATCAAAGAATAAGAAACTATTTTTCTTCTATTTTTTGATTCGAAGCTATATATAAATCTTCATTATGAGACAAAAAATGAAATTATGCTTCTAATAATTTTTTCTGTTAATGTATTCTTTTTTCTTTAAACCGAACTCAGAGCGATAGAGAGAGACAAGATTTTTTTTTCTTGTATAACGAAAGAAAACAGAATGAAAAAAGAAAAAGAGCATAGAAATCTAAGGGACAAAAAAGAAGAGTAAGGGAGACAAATGAAATAGAGACACAGAAAACAAGCGAATGAAAAATGAAAAGTAAACGAACAAGAAAAAATGAAAAAAAAAAGAAACAAAACATATCAACGATGACCACACACACGAGAAAAAAAAAGAGAGAAGCAGGATTAATCAAAGGGAAAAAGGTAAAGGAATAAAGCGATGAATAGGATGCACAAATACTGAAGCATGAAAGAGATAAAACCAATGGGAAGTAGAGACAAGGATAACTGTTCGATGGTTATTTTTTCTTAATAGTTGCTCCAAGTGTTGGAAATTCTTCAGTTGAAGCTAAATTTGGTTTTTCTTTTTTCGATGTTCGTTGATTAAAACCACTAACAATAGTAACTGATGAGTGACCACGTAATTGAGGTGGTCGATAAACTTCCGATGTTGTTGTTGTTGTTGTTGCAGGTTTCGATGGTAATTCAGCAACTTTATCTACTTTTGAATCAACTGTTTCATTTGTTTGTATTGGTTCAATTTGTTTAACTTGATCTAATTTCCAAGCAGGCTTATCTTTTTGTTGTTCACGACGTCGATTATTATTACGTGATGATTGTTCATTATTATCACCAACAATATTATTTGTAGTATCATCAATATTTGAATCATGATTATTTGTATGATGACCATCATCATAATAATCATCATCTTCGTCTTCATTGCAATTATTATGATCATTCGTACCACGTGAAAATTTTAAACGTAATTGATCATATTTTGGATTCGAATTTTCAAATTCTTCCCATTCATCTTGTTGTCCAATACCAGTTTGTTGTTCATTAATATTATTATGATTATCTTGTACCGTTAATTTAGTTGAATTTTTATTTTTATTATTAATCGATGTTGAATATGGTTGAGTTTTGTTAATAACTGTATTATTATCGTCATAAACTTTCATAATACCATTTGATTCATTATTTAATTGACGACGATTTTGATTATTAATACCAGTATCTTCTTCTTCTTCTTCATCGAAATCCATATTTTCTTTAAATGCTGATGTAGCTGATGTAACAATGACTAGAAATAAATACAAAATAAATTTCTTTCTTTTTTTTATTAATCTTATGTTTATAGTGTTTTTTATACCTAATTGTTTAAGTAATTCTTCATTATTTGTTAATATACCAGTTGGTTTTTTATTTTTATTACCTTTTCGATCTTTCTTTTTAAAGAAATCATCAAGATCATCATTGGCTGCCATGTTGTTTGTTTTTCTTTCTTTGGAATGCTTTGTTGATAATAAAAAATAAAATAAAACAGAAAACTTTATAAATTTAAATATGTATGTGTTGTGTTTTGTCTAATGAAACTTGGTTTTTTTTCTTTGTTCGTTAATTTTGCTAATTGAATAAATAAGATTGTTTTTCACTCATGATTGATAATAATTGTCCAGTTGGACAGGTATTTGGAATAGAGAAAAATTGTTTGTTATATAAAGTATTGTTTGATAAAGAAATGGAGGAAATTTGAAGAGAAAAATAAGAAGAGCGCGTTTTTCTGCGACTCTTGACGGACGACAAAACGGAAGAACGGTTGTTCGAAAAGCTTTTCTGTGTAGAGTCTAGCATAATCTAAAAGAACGAAAATAAGAAAGATAAAAAAAAATATATCTAAAAACTCTTATGAGTGTAAGAGTCATTTACAGTGCATGATCATGATAACAATGCATAGACTTTCATATTATTTTATTTTCAATGAACTTATCTACGTTTCTCTTTTTCTTTTTTTTTGTTTTTCGTTTTCTAATAACGAAAAGTTGATTCGAAATTAGGAAACAATATTGGATTTTAGTCTCTGAAAATAAAAAAAAGAAGCAATTGAAAGAAAATAAACGAATGATAACAACAAATATATATCTGTCTATGTGTACACACTTTCATTCATGTCTTTGAGAGTAATCACGGTCTGAGCAAGTAAACGCCTACGCGCATCATCTTTCCAACTGCGTATGGAAAAGAAAAAAGAGTAACGTACTCTTTTATACTTATTTAAAATCGCATATAAAAAAAAATGAAATAAAAGCTAGAAAGGCCAAAGTTTATCTCATCATCTCACTAGGTGATCATAACGAGAAGAGGAATGTTTAGAAATTAACAAGAAAAAAAAAGAGAAAGCAATTCTACGATAGAAATAGAAAAATATGATAGGAAAAAGAACGAATCAAAAATAGGAGAATAAAACAAAAGCTTTAGAGCATCTCATTTTTCTTTTCTTATTTTTCTTGTTTCATTAAATCAAAACTACATTCTGTCAAAATATTTATAAAAAAAAAAATATAGCGATTATTTTTCGTATTCAGATACTGTTTTTTCTAGATAATATAGAATATTTTGGTTTTCTTTCAAATTTTCTAAATAAAGGTATGAGATTATATTTGTTAATAAATGTTCGATCAACATGGAAAAGTATTGCATTAGAATAACCTGCAGTACCATATTGAAAAATGAGATTTTTTCCAATGTTACTTAATGAAATGCTGTATGGAAAATCCAAATAACCTAAGACAAAATAAAATAAATATGAAACTTGAAAAAATAAATAAATAAACAAAATCTTGTTTACCTAAATATTCAGACCGTTCATCTGCAATCGAAAATTTACTATGATTAGTTCTAATACCAATTGGTCGACTATAAATTGGAAAATTGTTTTCAACAAGTGTTATAATTGAATGTGTTGGATCTTGAATATTCCCTATTTAATAAAAAGAAACAAAGTTGTTCTTTTATTAATTGTAAGAAATCATGCTAATTTGATAGACAACAGTTAATACAAAAAGAAAGAAAATGTAATTCACAAGATGCATTGAAGAGCTACTCGTACAAAATGCTTTAATTTATTAGAAGGACATATGTTAATACAATTATAAAATCTACTAACCAAGAGATTCATCGCCACGTTCATCAATATATACACGAATTTTACTTGGCCAAATAAGAACTTTTTCTATTCTACAAAAATAATTATCATTATATCGGCTTATACGTTCTTTGAGTTCGTCACCGGGTATCGTTCGTTGACAATAGACTGATTTTTCAAAATAAGAAAAATAAATAAATCTAAATTATTTTTTCTTAAACTTTACCTTGTTTACAATGTTCGAACCACTGTGTTGTCTCCGACGAGTTTTCACATGTTGGATCACGACGTAAGGCCATTATTTGCCAATATCTTTTATCTTGAGCAAATCGTCGCAAATATTGACAAGTTGATGTAAATGACAGAAAATCACGTACATCATCTTTCCATGGTCGACCAATAATATATAAAATAATTATTTCAATTAATTCATTTGGTAAATCCAATAAACATGTTTCCATCTAAAAGATACAATTCCATA